CGCAACAGAACCCCTCTTGTGCAATGCCGTTACGCCGATTACTTTTCAGGAAGAACGGCATTGCGCAAGAGGGGTTTTCTTGCGCAAGAAGGGGCCATGTAGACAGCTCCTTCTGGTGCAACAGCCTCTTTTGCAAAAATGGTGGCTCGTTAGGTATGCAAATAGCCTCAGCAATATTCCATGCTTATCCTTATTTGCATATTACTGCTGCAAGAAGCCACGAGTGTAGACATAGCCTGGTGGTGTTTTCCCACTGCTGAGTTCAGTGTTTCACTCGGCAGCTTGAAAAATGTCCAGTCCCACAAGCGATTTGGTTGGGTTTGGGTTTTGGCCTCCGTTCTGTTACATGTCATGGACTCTGGATACGGCCACGCTGTGGCTAAAAAGAAGTGGCCAGCCTGTGCGAGCTGGCTTGGGTTTGCGGGTCCGGGGCCAACATGCCGGTTTATTGAAACGTAGCTGTCGGGATTCGAGCTGGAGGGGGAAGCGTCCCAGAGATCAGGTTACAGCCCAAACTGGAACGGCTACACCGCAGTTCAACAACCCGGCAGCCCGAGCCTGGTGATACTGCATTAGCTGGCATAGGGTAGTTGTGGGGTTTAAATCTAGTGTCATCAACCTTTTGGACCAGAAAGGATGACGAAAATAATTGGATCTCACCTCCTGTGCATTGAAGGCTACTGACTCTCATTCACGTACTCCTGTTACACCGCTACCCTCTGGCTGAGTTTCTGACACCCTCAAATCATGGTTTAAAGACTTGAAGTTACTGAGAAATTCTCCACCGACGCTAGCTTAAACTGCAAACGACCCGTATCCCAGGCTGCTGAGGTAGGTGAAAAAATTGTCCTCGTCTCTACCAGTCTGCTGTGTGGGAAAATTCCTTCTTAATCCCAAACATAGTGGTCGGTTTCTCTTTCTTTCCACCCCTTCCATCCTCACCACTCTGGCTCCCAGGTAGTCCAGTACCTTGTGTGTTCTTGCTGCTGCTTCCAAGAGTCAGGAGTCAGCCTGGGTCCTCTGTAAATGAACCGACCGAAAACGGAACAAGAAAGAGAAAATGAGGAAATTGAGATAGAAATGTAGCCGTGTTAGTCTGGTGTAGCTGAAGCAAAATACAGGACTATGTAGCACTTTAAAGACTAACAAGATGGTTTATTAGATGATGAGCTTTTTGATCTGAGGAAGTGGGTCTGGCCCACGAAAGCTCATCTAATAAACCATCTTGTTAGTCTTTAAAGTGGAGGAAATTGAGTGAGGGGGAAAGAAAGAAAGAAAGAAAGAAAGAAAGAAAGAAAGAAAGAAAGAAAGAAAGAAAGAAAGAAAGAAAGAAAGATAATAAAAGCAGAACATTCTGATGTTTTGCATCTCTGGATAAAGAAGCGTCAATTGTTATAAGCTATTCAGTTTCACAACATACCTGAGTACAGTGAATCCTTCTCCAAGCTGAAATAGTCTAACGCTGGGAGAAAGTATTTGGGAGGGGAGGGGAGGGGAAGGGAGTTCTCTCTGCAAACTGGGATGATTGTACAACTGAACTATCTTTTTATCATGGGCACGATATCAAAGCCACTCACCTTGTCCGCAGGAAAAGAGCCTCCCATCTGGGCCAGAATCCTCCTACCCTCTGAGAATTTGGAGCTAGAATACAAATCATTAAGGCTTCCTGGAAAGGTTGCAATGGGCAAGGCTGTGAGTAGTAGAATTATTTGAAAAGCATAAAGACGGTCAACTGATTTGACCTAGACAAATTGGAGGATTAGGCCAAAATAAATCTGATGAGGTTCAACAAGGACAAGTGCAGAGTCCTGCCCGTGGGAGGGAAGAATCCCAAACATTGGTACAGGCGGGGGACCGACTGGCTAAGCAGCAGTTCTGCAAGAAAGGACCTGGGGATTGCAGTGGATGAGAAGCTGGAGATGAGTCAACAGGCGCCCTTGTAGCTAATGACGTATCAAGGCTAATGGCGTATCAAGGTGCATTGCCAGCCGATCCAGAGAAGTGATTATTCCCCTTTATTTGGCTCTGGGGAGGCCACATCTGGAGTATTGTGTCCAGTTCTGGGCCCCCCCATTACAAAAAGGATGTGGACGCATTGGAGAGGGTCCAGCGGAGGTGACCAAACTGATTCGGGGGCTGGAGCACATGACCTACGAGGAGAGGTGAGGGATTTGGGCTTGTTCAGTCTGCAGAAGAGCAGAGTGAGGGGGGATTTGAGAGCAGCCTGCAACTCCCTGCAGGGGGGGTCCAGAGAGGCTGGCGAGAGGCTGTTCTCAGTGGGGGCAGAACAAGGAGCAATGGGCTCAAGTTGCAGTGGGGGAGGTCTAGGTTGGACAGTTGGAAAATCGATTTCCCTAGGCGGGTGGGAAGCGCCGGGCTGGGTTCCCTAGGGAGGGGGTGGAATCTCCGTCCCTAGGGGTGTTTCAGTCCTGGTTTAACCAAGCCCTGGCTGGGATGGTTGAGTTGGGTTGGTCCTGTTTTGGGCAGGGGGCGGCTTGCTTTTTCGAAAGAAAGCATCCAGTGAGTCTGGATGCTCTCTTTCGAAGAAGCCCTATTTACACTGAAGAACGCCTTCTTTCGAAAGAGGAACTTTCAAAAGAAGGCGTTCTTCCTCGTGAAATGAGGTTTACCGCCATCGAAAGAAAAGCCGCGTTCTTTCGATTTAATTTTGAAGGAACACGGCTTGAGTCTGGACACAGGGGAAGTTTTTTCGGAAAAAGGCTACTTTTCCCGAAAAAAACCCCTGAGTCTGGACACAGCCCAGCTCTTCCTTAAGCCCCGTTACAGTCCTGGTCTTAGATGCCTAAGGACAAAGAGAGCCAGTGGAATTTACTCCTACGTTAGGTGTCTTAGGCACCTAACGTCACTTCCGCCCCCTTGATGGGGAACCCGGCCGCCCAGAGAAGGTGTATCCAGGTGGCCTTATTCAGCAGAAAGCTGAGCCCAGGCCCTAGCCGGTTCGGCTTTCCGAGCCTCGCTTGGATTCCTCACGCAGATGTGTCACGCCGCAAATCGCGACTCGCTTTTCCGGTGCAAGAAGCCAGCAAGGTCGCGCTCCTCTGGATTGTCTCACCTTTGATCCGACCTCTCTTAGCACATGGCGCTGGCTGTAACACACCAGTGCTGCCTCGTCTTGCATGGCCCTGTACCACAACATTTGCCTGTTGTTGCCATAGTGTTACCCACTCGGCTCCTGATCTGGGGGGAGCTGTAGCTCTGACATATCTTGATTTAATTCCATTTGCGGTGCGGTATAAGCATGGAGCGTCCTTACTGCCATGCCGCGGCCTACCCAGCCGGTCCCGGCTTTGGCAATTCTTCCCTCCGAAGAGCAGTTCTTGCACTTTTGTTTATTGTGTTTTATCTTTCAGATTTCAGCCCTTGATCCCGCTTACCAACAGCCCTGCAAAGGGTGGGCGACCTCCGCTAGTGCAGAATCACCGGCACCTTTTATAACCGGCCTTCCCCCCGTCGTGAAGGGAAACATTGAATGACGCCAGACCCGTGTCTGTCCCCTGTGGGACGACTGTGAATGTCTGCCCAGTCCGACAGCGATTGCTTTCACCACTTCTGCAGTAATTTCATCTGCACACGCTTTCCTTCCAGGAATTTCATCTAGAAGCTATTTCCCCCATTTGATACTGTCCCAAAAGACTATTTCAAAAGTCGTAATTAAATCAAGATTTGTCAGAGCTACAGCTCCCCCCATATCAGGGGCGGTAGGTGTAGGCAGGGGAAGGTACAGCCTTCCCAACCACCAGCCTGGCCCCGCCCCAGACTCCACCCTCAGAGGCCACCTGCCCTTCTTCCTCCCCATGGTGCTAGGATGAGGGACAATAGGGTTCCACTGGGGTCAGGGCCTGAGCAGAAGGGGCAGGGCTGGCCATAATCCACCTGCCGCTCATGCCCCATATCCCTTAGGCCACCAACCCCGACAAAGAAGACCTGTAGAGTGGTTGGAGATGATGTGTTCATGACAAACCTGTGTTGGCTGTTACGTATCACTGAGATTTGATGTCTTTTTTAGTTACACAGGAAAGATGCACTGATGCCGAAGAAATTCCTTATTCGTGTTAAAGAAATCGAGATCATATTTTAATTTCTGAAATGACATAAATAGGGCTCCCATTACGCCTTCGCTGTGTCCTCTCACAGAGATCTGTCACTCCCCAAAGCATCACAACACATACAGGGTGTGTCTAGACTACAGGACTTTTTCCGAAAAAACAGTACCTGCGTCTAGACTACCCACCACGTTCTGTTGACAGTAAATTGACAGAATGGGGCGGTTTTGTCGACAGTGGTAGGCCTCGTTTTACAAGGAAGAATGCCTTTTTTCTTAAGTCATCTTTCGAAAACAGGCGCTATGGCATGAAAAGAGGGCTTTTTCGAAAGTCAGCGTCTAGACCCTCTTTCAAAAAAGCGAGAAGCTTTTTCAAAAAATCTTCATGTTGTCTAGATGCTGTTTTTCAAAAGAGGTTTTTTCAACAGTATCTTTCGAAACAGGCGTGCAGTCTAGCTGTAGCCTCAAATATTATGCAGAGGCAACAACTGAATAATTGTATTTGAATAAGCTTTTTTGGAAAAAGGCTTCTTCCTCATAGAAGAAGGTTAAGCGCCATCAGAAAACCCCCTCCGTTCTTTCGACTTTCTGTCAAAAAATTCAATGGCAGTGTGGCCACAAGTATGGTTTTTCCAAAAAAAAAAAAAAAAACCAGCTGGAAGTTGCCTATCTCAGCAACTTCTTTATACTTGGCTTGCTGGTCTCTGTCCACTCTAGCTTGCCTGGAGGACTTCTCTTCTGCTCTTTTCCCTGGGGCTACAAAGATATTGTACTTCCCCCAAACTACACACAGGATATTCATCCTCGCAGTTAAAGAAAATCCAAACACCTGATGAGAAATGGGGCGACGCTACCCAAACAACCTTAACTGCGGAAACGCTTTCATTGTAATTGAACTTTCTCACAGAGCGGTATCTAAAAGGGGCCTTCAGTTAATTCAAATTCTTTTAGGGAAAAGGTTTCTACGCAGCAATTTCTTCAGGGCGGATTTCACCTCCTCGTTTCTCAGAGTGTAGATCAGGGGGTTGAGGACGGGGGTGACGATGCTGTGCATGAGGGTGGGGATCATGTCTCTTTCAGAGGTGAGACCCGGCGAGGCAATCATGTAGTTCCCGAGGACCGGCAGGTACAACAGACACACCACGGTGAGGTGGGAGGTGCAGGTGGAAAAGGCCTTTCTCCGGCTTTCCCGCGACTGGACCTTCAGGAGGAGGAAGGAGATGATGTAGCGGTAGGAGAAGAGCGTGAGGAGGAAAGAAATCAGACCGAGGACCGCGGCATCGATGTTGAGCAGAATGAGGTTGAGGCGGATGCTGTCACACGCCAGGCTGAGCAGGGGTTTGATGTCGCACCAGAAGAGGTGGATACGGTTGGAGCCACAGAAGTGCAGCCGGGAGGTCATGACCGTGGTTATCAGGGCGTGAAGGAAGCCACTGGCCCAGCTGGCCACGGCCAGGAGCAGGCAGGCCCGCGGGCTCATGACCACTGTGTAGCGCAGCGGGTTGCAGATCGCCACGTAGCGGTCGTAGGCCATGACGGCCAATAGAACGGTCTCGCTGCTGCCCAGGAGGTGGAAGAAGTAGAGTTGGACCAGGCAGCCAGCGAAGGAGATGGCCTGGCGCTCAGAGAGGAAACCAGCCAGCAGCTTGGGCACGGCGACGGTGGAGAAGCAGATGTCCAGGAAGGAGAGGTTGCCCAGGAGAAAGTACATGGGTTTGTGGAGCCGGGGCTCGGCTAAAACCACCGCTATGATGGCCCCATTTTCCAACACATTGGCCATGTACAGCAGGAGGAAAAGGGGGAAGAGGAAAATCTGGAGCTCCTGGAGATCGGTGAGTCCGAGGAGGACGAAATCGCTCACCTCCGTCTGGTTCTCCATCGCCGAGGATGGGAGGGAGATGTGCTGTAGGGGAAGGAAACACAACAACCCTTGCAGTTTGCATTTCTAGCGGCACCTTGTTCCCAAAGGTTGCAGGGGACCTCCCCGTCATTGGATAAATCTTCCCAGGGAAATAGGTCACTCACTGGGTCTTGCCATAAGGGCAGGGCACTGGACTCCATGACCTCTCGAGGTCTCTTCCAATTCTAGTGTTCAATGATAATGGGCAGCAGGTTCAAAACCAAAGGAAGTTTTTCTTCACACACACAAAAAAGCAAAACAAAACACAGAGTTAACCTGTGGAACTCCTTGCCAGA